CGCAAGTCCTGGTAGATCTGGTTCATGAGGTACTGCGTGGTGTTGCGCGGCGCCCTCATGCCCGGCGCCCGCCAGCTGTACAGGTTGACCGGCTGCAGCAGCATGCTCTGATCGACGGGCGGGCTCCTGGGGAAGGAGCGGCGAGGGGGGCGTCGCAGACGGCCCCTGCGGCCCCAGCGCTTCTTCCTGCAGGGGGGGCTGGCCCAGCCCGGGTTCCAGGGAGCGCACCAGCAAGAGCAGGAGCAATGGCAGAGCGGATGCACGCCATACACCTGCATCATTTCCACCAGGCAGGGCGGCTTCCGGAACTGGGCCGGAGGGGGGCCCCAGGGCCCCCCGCAGCGCCCCCAGTCAGGGTACCAACAGGGCCGAAGCGGTGGCTGGAACCAAGGGCCTGGGCCGTGCGGTTGCTTGGGCTTTCTCCTGGGGGGCTCGTACCCGGGCTTGGGGCCGTAGCTGTAGCGTCGTCGCTTGGACATAGGGGCGCCTCTGAGCCTTCGATGACAGGAAGACCAGGTGCCTAAGCGGGCAGAGGATGGCCAGCCGCCGCCCAGATTGCGGGGGTCCTCCTTTTGGAAGAGGGTCATGGTTCAGGGAGCTCCCGGAGGTCTAAATGGGAGCGTCGTAGAAGCTGTGGTCAACTGTGGCCAGATCGAACTGAGTGAAGAGCGTCCTCAACCCGTGTCACTGCAGCGCCACTGCCTGGCTCTGGGTGGCGCCTTCCTTCCAGGAGGACCCTGTCTGCTCCTCTCCGCGTTCTAGCTCTTCTGTCCTAATCGCTTGTCCTTCGCACCCGGGTTGTCTTGCCCAAGTGGGCTGGATGGGACTGGGGCTGGGTTGGTGGGCGGGGAGGAAGGTGTTGGTGGGCGGCACTCAGTGAGAGCCTCTCCCGGGTCCCACGTTCACCCACCTCTGCAGAGGCGCGGGCTGGGGACTGGGAATGCAGGCGGTGTGCATTCACGTGGCTGCTCCCTCTTAACCCAGGTGCTCCAAGGTCGCCGTCTTGGCCGGACTGAGGCGTCACGGGCAGCAGCAGCCCTTAAATACCCTCTGGGGACCCGACGTGTGCACTGCGTTCTTGGTTGCCTAGGACGACAGCCAATCAAGGTGCAGACGGTTACCCGTCTGTGGAGGCGGGGGTCTGGCCGCTGCTAGGAGACCACGGTGAACATTTGTGACACAATATCAGAGAGGTTAGGGGGAAGGGACAAGATTAGGTGGGCTATTTAGATGAACCCTTTGTAGCATATTGAGGTGGGGTGTGGGGAATTTGGAAGATGGGTCTTCAGCTGAACCAGAACGAGGTGGGAGAACTTACTTAAAAGCCTCTATTCTATGTCTCGTGTGGGCAATGGCAAAGAAAAGCCCTACATTTGGCAATCGTGTCCCCACTTTATACTTAAGGCCAGTTTGCCCTCTTCTATCTCCAGGAAACTGGATTCATCACACATGAAACATTATCACAGAGCCTGTAGAGGTGCTATATAATCCTCCTGTCTACCTTCATGGTTTGTTGTGTTTCACAGGTTAGCGGATCGAAAGGTCATTCCACCCAAAGTAGACAGGCTAATGGACTTCAGAGCTAGTTTTCAAGGCTAAACCTTGTTTAACCCGCCAATTCTTAACCACCTTGTTATATTAGCAGCACACCTTAAATAAGACTTTCATGACTAATTAATGAAATACGTATGACAAAGAATTTTGCTTATTCCAACATACAATGCATATGTCAGTTGATTAAACAATCTTAATTACCAGGAAGAGTACCACGAGTTTGGCTTTCGGAAGATTATTTCAATTATGCCTTTGTTTCGTTTCTTCACTCTCTATACATTAGATACATTGGGAGACTAAAGGAATCATAGTTAAACATATGGGTTTTTATTTGGAGTTAATTCAACTTCAGCTCAGTTTGGTAACCTTGGAAACTCTCAAATTCCTTAACCATACCATTAATGTGGTTTTCTTATAGTACATATTCCACAGAGTGGTGTGAACGATGGCATAAGGTATTTCATTAAAGCACTACCACAAGTACTCATAAAGACTGTCATTATTATCATATGTAAGTACTTTACGACTTTAGGAGGAGTTGGTACAATAAATGTAAAGACCTTAAACCCTGTACCTGATGCAACAATGGGCATTCCCACCACCCTTGTGTTCTTTTGTTGTTCCACTTCATACAAACGTCAAGGAGGTGCTACCAGGCTTAGTCCTAGGGATAACCAGCTCAGAGTATGTTTCACTTTATTACCTTCCTACAGTAAATGGTTATACGAGATAGAACGCTACCTGCTAAGAATCTCAGTCCATTAAATGCTGCAGAAGCAAAATATGCGAAGACCCTAAGGCCCAAAAGATGACTTACGTGTCCCTGGCTGAAAATTGAGAAAAGAATGACAGTTGTTGATGGAGATGCCAAGGTTTGCCATGGGACCTGCCACAGGTTTCATTCGATCTCTCTTGCTCTGCGGTGTGCAGAAGAGAAGTCTACTTTATTGAAAGTACAACATGTGCTCCCTTTAGCTTCCAGGGTCCCCTTATAGATGCAGACTCGCACCTTTAACAGTTACTTTACTCTTGTTCTACTTAACTCAAAATGGAATGGTCATAGTCCACATTTATTTTCCTAAAGATGTGTCTCATACAATGTGGATTTTTACTTGAGAGCTTTAGAAATTGACTGTATTACTTCAGTGGAATTCACATTATTCCCTTTTAGTTTATGAAAAATCCTTGACTCATTGTACAAGTAATTAAGGACATCATTTTTGATCAATTGATATGAGTTTAATAGAAATAATTTTGGTTTATTTTTCTTAGTTTTTCACCTTACTAAAATCATTTGACTCAGGATTATCTTGCCCCAGGCTTCTTAAGAGAAGCAGAAAATTGTCATTTATAATCTTTTTTTCTAAAATTAGAATTACAATACAATTTTAACTATGCTTAAACCACCCAAGATAAGTTAATACCAGAGCATGTTAAACATAACAATCAGAAATCAATTGAGAACATTTAAAAGCACATTTCTAATTGACTTGTAAATATTGTGAGATGAAATATTCTGTTTCAGTAGTAAGTACGTTCCTCATGTTTCTATATATTGCATTAGTTTTCTGTTCCTGCATAATAAATCACCACAAACTAAGTTACTCAAAACAACATACATTTATTACCTCAAAGGTTCCCAGTGACAGGGCTCCAAGAATAGCTTACTGGAGCCTCTGCTCAAGATCTTGCTAGGCTGTAATCAAGATGTTGCCTGGTTTGAGTTCTCATACTAGGGCATTCTCTGGAAAAATCCACACCCAAGATCCTGCCTGCACATTACTGGCAGAATTCATTTCCCTGAGGCACTCTGACTGAGAGATCTGCCTTTTTGCGATCTACTGGCTAGAGGCCACCTTCAGGTTTTAAAGGGCAAGTACATGTCCTAGGGCACTGTTCTGGTTCCTAGGGACTACCCATAGTTCCTTCCCTTGAGGTTTTTCATCATGGCTGCTCACTTATCAAGCCAGCAGAGAGAATCTCTGCAGTTCTTCCTAGCAAGATAGGTGTGTGCAAATATATATATATATATAGTGTGTGTGTGTGTGTGTGTGTGAGAGAGAGAGAAAGAGATAATCATGGGCATGACATGCATACTAGCCATCATCTTTGCCATGTTCAATTAGTTAGAAGCAGTACCCAGATCCCACCTGCTTACAAGGTAGGAGTGGATTGAGCATGGAAAACACAAAGGTATGATACCAGGAGGCAGAACATCACTGGGGATGAATCACCTTAGAGCTACCTGCCGGGTATATGAAATAAATCCGTTAAAATATGTTTAAATTGTGCCCTTGCATTCACTGGCAACAATGTTATCTCAAAAACTTTAATGACATTGTTGGCATTGTGAAATTCTAAAACATCCGGTTTTATGATAAAAGGCATAGTGTGCTTTATACCATACTTTATCATTATTGCTTTAAGTTCCAAACACATTGCAATATTGGTCTGAACTTTTTCTGCATTTGTGTCAAATAAAAAGAATTAACTCTAACACTTGGTGGCAGTACTAGCTCATTTACAATTCAGTAAGCAAGGATAACTACAGACAACAATGATAAGTAAATTCTTCATTTTAAAATTTTATTACAAATTTCATTGTAAAACTGTTCCATTCCAAGTTGACAATATTCACTAGCAATTATTCTAGACTGGTGGAATTGAGTATATTTATGAGATTTGAGCATTTTTCATTTGGCTTTTAAAAAGTAAACCTTAGTTGGTTAAACTTCTAAATGAAGATTCTTCAAAGAGAAGTTAGGTATACTGTATTTTGTCAGGGAAATGTAATTCAATAAATATTTAAGATCTTATAATGGACAGCTAAATTACATATAAATTAATATACTGACAGAGAGGGATTGGGCCCTCAAGGAACTCAGCACAAATAAGAGATCAGAGCTGTGGCTGGAGGCAAACATAAAGAGAGCCAGGCCCCAGGGCGGAGATGCAATAGCCAGGCCTACAAGATAAACAGCATCTAGAAACCCACCATCTGATCCAGTGGGCCCAGACAGGCGTCAGGCACATAGGTGGGTGGCCGGGACATCCCAACACTCTCCTCTTTTTACCCAAAATGCCTTTATTCTTTCCATATTCCCCTGCTATTGATCTATTGGATCAGTATTAGCTAAGTGGCTATACTTGTAATCCTTAGGTTATTGATAGTTTGACCCACATTTTACCCATGTTATGGCTTTTCTATATAAATTACACCTGACAAAGGGATTCTGTGGCCGCCACTTTCAAGATCTCTCCTGTCTGTCACTGAGGAGTTTTCTTTTAAACCTTTCCAATTCTTAACCTCCATGGTCCCTTGGAATTCAGTCTTCCATACTAGGAGGATATCAGTTTGACACATCTGACATCTAGCAGGTCTGGAAGTATATTTTTCCTATAACAATCCATCTACTTGAATAATGTGTTACAGGATGCAAATATAAATAAATAGCTAGGATGCATGATTTTCCCTGTTAAAGATTTGAATTGTCCATAGCAAAAACACCTATATTTGGAATTTTAATCTAAAAGGAACAGTACCATCTCTTTGGCAAAGATTAAGTACTGTACAAGATATTAGGCATTTTCAAGGTGAGATAAAGAGAATTCAAAATTACTCATTGCTTTGTCCTGATAATTTGGGAAGTTGAGAGGCTAGTTTGCAAATCTGTGAGGTGTGTTATGCATCAGGGAACACCACTGTGATACTTGTCCATTATGAACTTTGAAATCCTTGTAAGCAAATCATGAAGAGGAAATTAACTCTGTAGTAACAACAAAGTCCCTCTTTCTACAGATTCCATGGTGAGAGAATGTTAGCTTTATACTCCTAACGGTATGTTGTGTAGGTATTATTTGCTTTTATACCACCTTTTGAAAATGCTATTAATCCCATAGATTTTCAGATAATTAATCAGAATGTATCATGACATCTGAAAGATTTGTGTGTGCTCAGTAATGATTAGACAGGCTTTGTTAGCCTAAGCATGTTTGCATATAAATAATTTTAAAGTAGAATATATTCAAGGACAATGGAATGTTATGAGTTTTTTTCTTAGGAAATAATCTATGCTATTTAAGGAAAATAAATGTATCAAATGAATAAGAAAAGAAGTTGGATCATTTAAAATGCGTTTAATCAGGGATCAATTTAAGCATTAGAACTGTCGATTAAGAGGGTGAAGCGTTTGAAATGACCATACAGTTCCAGGTTTAGCATAAGATTTTTTCTTCCAGAGTGTCTTAGTTACTTTTCTTTTTGCTGAGACAAAATACCAAATACCAAAAGTTAAAGAAGGAAACGTTTATTTCAGCTCACAGTTTGTAAAGGTTTCAGTCCATAATTGTTTGGCTCCAAGGCAATATAGCATGGCACAGGGGCATCACAGAGGAGAAATAGTTAATGGCAAGGAAACAAGAGACAACAAATCAGCAAGGAAGCAAGCAGCAGCAGCAGCAAACAACAGCAGCTGAAACCCCTCCCTTTTATCCCTTCCAAATTACACAGCTTTT